ACGATTTTTGACATTTTTATGCCTCACTATATTATGAAGTTTTTCTACGTTTTTATGCCTTATTATATTATGACATGTTAAGTCTTATACTATGACGTTTTTTCAACGTTTTTTGCTTTACTTTACTTTGATGTTTTTTGATATTTTTTTGCCTTACTATACTATGACGTTTTATGCCTTACTGTACTATGATGTTTTTGACATTTTTATTGCCTTACTATACTATGACGTTTTATGCCTTACTGTACTATGATGTTTTTGACATTTTTATTGCCTTACTATACTATGACGTTTTATGCCTTACTGTACTATGATGTTTTTGACATTTTTATTGCCTTACTATACTATGACGTTTTATGCCTTACTGTACTATGATGTTTTTGACATTTTTATTGCCTTACTATACTATGACGTTTTATGCCTTACTGTACTATGATGTTTTTGACATTTTTATTGCCTTACTATACTATGACGTTTTATGCCTTACTGTACTATGATGTTTTTGACATTTTTATTGCCTTACTATACTATGACGTTTTATGCCTTACTGTACTATGATGTTTTTGACATTTTTATTGCCTTACTATACTATGACGTTTTATGCCTTACTGTACTATGATGTTTTTGACATTTTTATTGCCTTACTATACTATGACGTTTTATGCCTTACTGTACTATGATGTTTTTGACATTTTTATTGCCTTACTATACTATGACGTTTTATGCCTTACTGTACTATGATGTTTTTGACATTTTTATTGCCTTACTATACTATGACGTTTTATGCCTTACTGTACTATGATGTTTTTGACATTTTTATTGCCTTACTATACTATGACGTTTTATGCCTTACTGTACTATGATGTTTTTGACATTTTTATTGCCTTACTATACTATGACGTTTTATGCCTTACTGTACTATGATGTTTTTGACATTTTTATTGCCTTACTATACTATGACGTTTTATGCCTTACTGTACTATGATGTTTTTGACATTTTTATTGCCTTACTATACTATGACGTTTTATGCCTTACTGTACTATGATGTTTTTGACATTTTTATTGCCTTACTATACTATGACGTTTTATGCCTTACTGTACTATGATGTTTTTGACATTTTTATTGCCTTACTATACTATGACGTTTTATGCCTTACTGTACTATGATGTTTTTGACATTTTTATTGCCTTACTATACTATGACGTTTTATGCCTTACTGTACTATGATGTTTTTGACATTTTTATTGCCTTACTATACTATGACGTTTTATGCCTTACTGTACTATGATGTTTTTGACATTTTTATTGCCTTACTATACTATGACGTTTTATGCCTTACTGTACTATGATGTTTTTGACATTTTTATTGCCTTACTATACTATGACGTTTTATGCCTTACTGTACTATGATGTTTTTGACATTTTTATTGCCTTACTATACTATGACGTTTTATGCCTTACTGTACTATGATGTTTTTGACATTTTTATTGCCTTACTATACTATGACGTTTTATGCCTTACTGTACTATGATGTTTTTGACATTTTTATTGCCTTACTATACTATGACGTTTTATGCCTTACTGTACTATGATGTTTTTGACATTTTTATTGCCTTACTATACTATGACGTTTTATGCCTTACTGTACTATGATGTTTTTGACATTTTTATTGCCTTACTATACTATGACGTTTTATGCCTTACTGTACTATGATGTTTTTGACATTTTTATTGCCTTACTATACTATGACGTTTTATGCCTTACTGTACTATGATGTTTTTGACATTTTTATTGCCTTACTATACTATGACGTTTTATGCCTTACTGTACTATGATGTTTTTGACATTTTTATTGCCTTACTATACTATGACGTTTTATGCCTTACTGTACTATGATGTTTTTGACATTTTTATTGCCTTACTATACTATGACGTTTTATGCCTTACTGTACTATGATGTTTTTGACATTTTTATTGCCTTACTATACTATGACGTTTTTATGCCTTACTATACAATGTCGTTTTTTCAACGTTTTTTTGCTTTACTGTACTTTGATGTTTTTTGATATGTTTTTGCTCTACTATACTATGACGTTTTTATGCCTTACTATACAATGTCGTTTTTTCAACGTTTTTTTGCTTTACTGTACTATGACATTTTTTGATATTTTTTGCCTTACTATACTATGATATTTTATACCTTACTATACTATGACATTTTTAAAATTCTTTTATGCTTTACTATACTATGATGTTTTTTGGCAATTTTTCACCTTGCTTTTTCAAAGTTTTTTTGCTTTACTGTACTATGACATTTTTTGATATTTTTTGCCTTACTATACTATGATATTTTATACCTTACTATACTATGACATTTTTAAAATTCTTTTATGCCTTACTGTACTATGATGTTTTTGACATTTTTTTTGCCTTACTATACTATGACATTTTTTCATATTTTTATGCCTTACAATAATATGACATTTTTTAAAGTTTTATCAATGTTTTTATCCCTGACTAAACTGAGGCATTGTAATTGCGTGGCACTGTAGTGGAGTGGTTAGAACTGACGTCCCGTAGTGAGGAGATCTTGGTTCTGATCCAGTCATGGGATCATTCTGTATGCAATTGTCATGTTCTCTCTGTACCTGTGTGTGTATTCTTTGACTACGCTGGCTTCCTCCCACATTCCAAAGACATGATTTTTAGGTTTATTGGGGACTGTAATGCTTTACGTTATAAAAACATTTTTAAGTCTTACAATACTATGACATTTATTGACATTTTATCCCTTACTATGCTATGACGTTTTAAGCCTTATTATAGTATGACGTTTTTTGATATTTTTATGCTTTACTATATTATGACATTTTTGGATGTTTTATGCTTTACTATACAATTAAGTTTTCATACATTTTATACCTTACTATACTATGACGTTTTAGATCTTACTTTACTATGATGTTTTATGGCTTACTATACTATGACGTTTTTATGCCAATTTAAAATGTCTGAACTATTACGTTTTTTGACATTTTATGCCTTGTTAAAATATCACCTTTTTATGCCTCATGACCATTTTTGCACTGTATCAGAAACACTCTCAAGCCACACTAACACATCTGAAAACACATGACCATTCACGTACGCACAGCATGCGTGTGTCGGTGTAAAGAGGATGCAGCCTTATACAAACTATTTTTTGAAGAATAACCAACCTCAAAACATCTACCAAGCCAGCAGAGATCAACACCTCTGAAACCCTCACAGGAAACTCTAGTATCAGAGAGAGCACCAGGTTCATTTTCAAAGATGGGCCAGATAAGAAAGAAATAAGAGATTACAAAAAATTGTTCATTGATCACTAGGATATCAAAAAGCTTGAAGAGGCTGTTAGACCAAAACAAGTACTCTTATAAATCAAAGAGTGTTTGATACCAAGAATAGGAGAAAGGAGAAATCCAGAGCATAGCAAGCCCCTCCCCAGCGTGCTTCACCTTCCATCCAACTCTTCCTTTTCTATATTTACATCCTCCTGCCTCATCTTTATTGGTTGACTCTGTGTTTAGTACTGTGGACTCACATAAGGAATGTTCTGGCTTCCAACCAACAGGGTTCTTTCTGTGTGGAGTGAGCATTTGACAGTGTCACAATCTCTCCTATGCCCGTGTGGGTTGCCAGTTTATTTTGTAGACATAATACTAACATTAAATTAATGCCTGATCCCCTTTATTTACTTTTTCAGTATCTCACCAGTGCCTTCCTCTGATCCCAGCTTTGCTTTTGACTGTAGGCATATAGTAATAGAACCCTAAAGTCCCAAAAGATCTATACAGTACATATTTTTTTGATCTTGTGTGCACAAGATCTGATCTTGTTTGTTCAAGATAAAATGTATCTTGCAAAATAAAAAAAAAATATTATCTTTAGGGGGTCCATTAACCCAAGTATAACTTTTTTTTGATATGCAGAGAGATGTGAAGAAGACAAAATCATCAAAGCCTAAAAGATAATAAGCAATATGCAAGTAAAAAGCAAATGTTGTCTAAAGAAAGTTCAAATTAGTTTAGAGCCTGGATAGCTGAAAATCTTCTCCAGCAGAATGAAATTAAATCCAAATTCTTATCACTGGTACCACAGCATTTAACCTCCCTGCTTGCCACTGACCTCAGCACCTTATCTGCTTTTGTCAAGTGATGCAAAACATCTTCTGCTTTGAATTTTGATCAACTAAATAAATCATCAAGTAAATAAATCAGACTGTGAAAGTCCCATGCAATTCCTATCCACCGGCCTCGATTACTGCAGCTCTTTATGATTTATATCACTCACATCTCCAAATAATTAAATGGCTGATGCAAGTTTTAACAGGGTCAGAAAAAAGGGACCATATTAAACCTGTTCTTGCCTCCCTCTACAGTTGAAGTGAATTTAAGTTTAAAATTCTGCTGTGTGTGTACAAAGCACTAAAGGTCTTGGCCATACTTACATTTCATATCAGCTGTCACTGTCAAGGAGTTGACATCATCTGACCAAAGTCTCCTGTCTGTCTCCAGATGCAGAACTAATTGCTTTGTTGACAGGACTGTCTGAATAGCTGCTAGTGTACAGTGTATTTTTCCTTCTCCTGCCATACTTTTTCTGATGCTTTCTGGATTAAATCTTAAGCAATATTTTACTAGTTGGTGTTATATTGTGCCTGACCCCATATGCTCCTGTGTTTCTGTCTGAAGCTTCAAATCACTGGCTGTGATTTTCCCTTGTCCTTCCCTCTGTTCTGTTTCTATGTGCTGTGGCTTTTAAAGCACAGACTGCATATAAAGACTTAAAGCACTATAAAAATGTAGCAGATCTTGGTGTAGTTTTGAAGCAGTTTGTTAAAAGGAGAAACTGCAGACTTTTCTTTTAAAACCTGCTTTTTACATTACATTTAAATTACACAGAATTTTCATCGAACAGTGAGTGTTTGGAGTGATGTTTATTAGCAGGTACAGTGGAAGCCAAGAGCACAGATAAATCATCACAAAAAGACAACTGATGACATGAAGCAATCTCAGACATGCTGGATGTGTTCGAATGATTGATGGCACAAGTCAGTGTCAAACAGATGAAAAGATTAAAAACTGAGAGAGTTGATTGATTCTTAAGCTCTGTCGTTTACCAGACAGAGTAAGGTCTCTTTTGTGATTCAAGAAAAAAAGTTCACAGATTTCTTTTAAAAAAAATCTCCATCTAACTGTATTTCTGTTTTAAATCAACCCTCTCAAATAGATTTTCATTAATAAAGCACATTCAGACTGCTTGCTTTTAATCTTGTCTGTCTAATCATCTGTTACCAAGCCAAGGCTATGCTACAAAAGACATCTGAAATAAATGATTTTGTGTCTCACAATGCCGCTGATATTTAGGCAACAAACTGAAAACCCTCTGATAAGAGTAATCATCTAAAATGTTTTGTGTTAAAACCGAACAAAGTGATGATTTGTAGATGAATAGATGAATAAACATCAGAGAATAACAACACAGTTGCTTTTCTGTGGATGGTGTAATTTTGTTTCATCTCTTTTTCTCAACATCCTACAAGACAAAAGAAATACATTAAATTATCGTTAAATATCAGGATTTCACATATTATGCATTGGCTTATTGTTGATGTACTTACCAAATTTTACTGACAACAGCCAGAGGTATTAATACAACAACTCCAAAAAGTAGCACAGTCGCAAAAGCATACAGTAGATAATCTGAAAAGACAAAATATTTGACATTCAATACATTGAAAACTGAAGTAATAAATAGGAGTTTTAATAATATTACAATCAGTTTATAGCTCTGAATTTCAAATGGGAATTTACCATGTAACCATGTGTGACCATGTCCAGATTCATTGATTTCAGGAGGTTTAGAAGGAACACTGCTGCTTTTCCAAGACGTCACTAAAAGGAGCATTAAAAAAACTATTAAAAAAAATATTTCCGAGAAAGACAATTTAACATTAAAAAGCCTCTCCTGTAAATCCATACTCACTGAAATATGATCTGTTATGAAGTACGTCATGAATCATTTTGCACGTCTTTAGTTCATCATTGTGCATGCCTCTGCATGAACAAGGATGGTGAAGTGCTGTGCCCAAAGTGGCTAAAAAGGCCGTTTTACATTCAAAATCTGCACCGAGGATGCGGCCTGGATCCATGCTGGTGAAACATTCGGCACTTTGGAGGTCACTGTCGCTGCATGGAGCCTCTTCAGAGCTCCAGCATTTGGCTTGGAAAGATTTTAAAAGGTCTCTAGTAAATCAGAGAGAAGAAAATATACACAGCACCATTTCATCACCTTTAACATCCTGTGACAGACCATTATTTTAATTATAATTTCACATAGATTGTGTTATTGAAATCAAAATGTAGCACAATTAGCTCTGGGAAGACACTACACAGATACAGTACATTGTGTTACAACATGACATTTTTTTTAATAAATGCATGTAGACGTTTAAGGTTAATTGGATGCAAATTGTAGATGTGCCCTGAAAATAACAACGCACTGTGTCAAATTACATGATAAATGAGCCCCGAGCCACTAATTCATGAGTTCACTTCTAAATCTAGATTTTAATATTCAACACATCTGCAGTATGTGAAAATAAGCATTGCTTGGTTAACTGAAAATTGTAAAAAGTGTAAAGTGATTTACAACATCATAACTGTGGACAAAAAAACTAATTTATTCTAGATTGATTTTATAATAAGTTGAGTTAAAGACTGAACTTCCATGCTCAAATAATTTCTCTGTTCACAATAACTTTTCCACAGAACAGCAACATACCTGCAGTTACTGTCATCAACACACTGGATAACTGTATCCTGGCAGATGCGGGTCTCGTCTTCACATGTGCCGCTGTGCAGAGCAGTTCTCATGTGCAGACAGCTCTGATCTGAAGCCTCACACTCACACATGACCAGCATCTCTGCAACATTCTGCGGCATGCCACCATAGAAGTGCTGAGTCACTTGCTGACAGCGCTCAGGGTGGCACGGATCCGCCGTACACGCCTGGAGAACAGGTGCTAGGTACCTGTTGCAAACTGCATCACTCACACAAACTCTCATCCGGTCAAAGCAGGATGCAGCAGCATCATATACTGTGAAAAGAAATGTACTGAATCAGTTTTCAGATTTCACCAATATCAATTTTGTATTGATTGAATTCAATGTCATTTTATCTTCTCAGCTGAGGTTAAAAAAATTACCATAGCCTATCAAACTGCTTGACTTCCAGTCCATCACTGTGCTCCTCTTCTGTTGACTTGCTGTACAAATAATAGAAAACCTAATTAGCCACTACCACAAATGCCTATTAAAACCAATCTGCTGTTCATGACACCCATTCTGCAGCACAACAGTGTTTGTTCATACATCAGATCGCCTTTGGTAAATAAAAATGTCATTTCAGCTGTAAATGCTTATCGCAGAGAGTACTGAGAATACTGCACCTGGCTTTTTGTGGCATTGTGTGGCCAGCGCTTGTATGGAGTCACAAAGCTCGCCCTCCCAGGCACACACACACCCTCGCAGAGAGGGAAATCGGTCCAGTATGGTCTGGATGGTCATGTTACAGACCTCTGAGCCTTTTATTTGGCAGCCTTCATCTTGAATGACACAAACACAAGAGGGAAGCAGAAAAACAGGATTTTCCATAAGGGACTGAGCTCTTGTTTGGGCAACAGGTGTTTCCTATGTGCCTGCTGCTCTGACTATTTCAGGATGTAGATATATATAGTATATTAATACTGGAATCTAATGTCAAAACAGACATTTATTTTAAGGGCAGGTGAAGGCGTCCTTATTATTATTATTATTATTATCTATTTATTTATTTAGTTATATAGACTTTGCTCCAGGCTACTGCCTCAGTTATTACATTTAAGCCATACTCTGAGAAGTGCAATTCGGTTAAATAGCTTCATGTCCTGAGCTTCCTGAGGAAATGTAATCGTTACTTGTATAGTAAAACATCATTTTCCAGTCCCCTGCAGCAGGAATAGTAAATTGGAAATATGTCTCTTTTACTGTTACAGATGCCGCCGTAAAATGCCCGTTCCCTCGTGCATAAATCTGACATGCAGATATCCACAGCGGCCAAACAGTCAGAAGGTGCAGATGAAATGCTGGATATCTGAGGAATAACAATCCCTGAAATACAAGTACATCACAATGATTAAAACATTTTGTAGAATAGGTTGGTTCAAAACACATACATTTTTACAACAAACTTTGGTTGACTGTACTATTATAAACTACAAGACATGAAACTCTAGTTTGAAGCCTAAGCTTTAGTTACATCCCCTGATAACACACAGTGACGTTAAGTTTTATGGTTTTACTGTAAAAAAAAATAATCTGGTATTTCACATAGTGACAGTTGACTATAGACTCACCAAGGATGACTGCAGCTTCCAGACCTGTCAGTTGCATGATAGCTGTGGTAAAGCTGTGAGTTGACAGCTGAGACTCTCCTGCAGCTGATCTGTGCCTCTCGATGTTGATGCACTTAAACTGGGACACACCACCCACAGTCAACAGGATGTAACACATTTACTGGAGGCTGTACCCTGCACAGTGTAATGAAATGACACCTACAATACACGGACAAAACACACCAAAAAAGAACAAACAAAGAACAACAAAAACAAATATTTTGTACTGACGTAGTCATAGTGTGTGCGAGTCTCATTTTTCTCAGGTGTCAGTGTATTTTTTCACAGGTAGGAATTAACTACCAGAATTATTGCTGAAGTTGTTACTGACATGTTTAAGCAGCTCTAAAAATTGACAACATGACATATTTACATAATTAAGGTGTGCTGAGATCAGAGATGCCAGTTTATGACCTGTGATCTCCTGGTTCAAAATAAAAAATTGTCTCAGTGAATTTTGTAAGATATCAGTATTTTTGAAACTCTATACTTTCAAGCACCAATAATTAATATTCTTATATACAGTGGAGCATATGACTACTTGTATGTGAGAGGGCTGGCTCATGAATCGACAGACAATTATCACTCGACTCTGTGGTTCCACTCAGCTCTAAAGAGCATTTTAGTGTCTTTTAGCTCATTCTTTTGGTTGCCACTGAACTGTTTTGGCTCACTCTCTCTGCTGTCATCAGCCTGTTTCCAGACACAGGATACAGGTGTTGTCCATGATTAAGTTTGTAAAACCAATGGTACACTAACTTCACCTACTCAGCACCAAACGGACAAAGTTAGCAGCTAGCTGGTGAATATAGTGCAACTAAAGAGCAATATTTTTCCCCCTCAGGAGTCAATGGAGACCAAAAACAGCTACAAATGAGTCTGAATGTTGAACATAAATTCATCTGGTTTCCAGAAACACAATTCCAAATGAATGATAACGTTGCTGCTAACATTTGTCAGACTTGTGTTCACAGCTTGTTTCTACCCCCCCCCACTGGTAAAACAAGATAAGTTATTGCAGCCTTAAAGCATATTGTGTTTGTTTGGTTGTTTTCACTTTGTTTATCTAAAGAAAATATACTGGATGCAACCCTTGGCAACTCTGGTTCAGCGTTGCGTTTGTGTATTTAAACAGAAAATTCATTGTAACTGTACTGCATGTGCATTTTGGAGAGAGACTGGACTCAAAGATAAAAAGATAAACCTTATAGGCAGATACTTTATTGATGAAAGATGTGCAGGACAACAGACACAATGTATAGCGTACATTGTAAAGTGGTGCATATTGAAATTAACAGCAATTTTTCACACACATTTCGCTCCAAATAATGTTAAAAATTATGTTTCTTGTTTTTTTTTTAACCACATTTACGGAAACATTTTTTAACTTAACATATTTACCTTTTTTTTTCATAAATAATGTTATGTTAATGTTAAATCCAAATATTAACTGTGTTAAATGTTGAATCTAAATGTTAAATCTTGGCGAGATGTTGCTGTTAATTTCATTATGCACCACTTTACAATCTGCTCCCCACCACAAGAAAGAAGAGAGTTCACTAGATCAGAAATATCAAGTCAAGGAACTAATGAAGCAATCTGAGAAGGTCGAGCTGAGGAGACATGATGGGATAACTGGGTGAAGCTCTGATTGGTGACAATGCACTAGCATCAGAAAGTCTGTTTCCAAATAAATGAATAAATGAATTGAACATGAAAAAGATGATTGCTAACACCGTGACTTTTTATGTCTTAATTTCAGCTAGAGATTCACATGTTGATTTACGTTACAGTCATTCACTGTATGAAATAAAAATCCAATTACAAAAATTCAATACTGTTTCCTGATCGTGCAGTATATGTGTCCTCTTCCTGTTCAGCTGGTAAAACAAAACAAAATCAAAAACAGCAATATCAGTGAAAAAAAATTAAGAAATGAAGTAGACAAGGACTATTACAAATTTAGATAAAGAAACACAGAAATATAGTTTAGTAGCATGATATGATTTGGAATTAACTTCTAATATAACTGCACTCAAAAACTTGCCATGTCATATTACAGTGTGATTAATACGTACAAAAGATTTGAAACACATTCACTGAGTAACTATTTATAGAGATAAAATATTTTCTTTTTAAAACAACAGAGTATATAGCTGCTTTCAAAAAGAAAAAAACATAGAGACACATGGAGGTTCCAATATGAGATATGTAAAATTTTCATAAAGCATTGACAAAATGCTGAAAAATGCAAATACTGGGGCTCTTAAGGATTTCCATTGTAAACAAACCACATCTGTGCAGAATGAAACATTTCATCACAATGAGTAGCCATCATCACTGGTGTTTACAGACATTTAGTCTGATTTTCAGATCAAAAAATTATTTTACACATGTTGGGAAATGAAAGTTCTGAGTTTAAAAGTGTGATTAACAAATTATTGTCTTACAGTAAGAAAATGTAAAGTTTCTGATACTGATCATGGTTCACATTGAAGTCAAATACACACGCAAATAAATAAAAGGAGAAAAGGCATAAAGTGCATGTCAAAATGTTAAGTTGCAATACACGTAATACAGTGGACTCCATACATTTTACAAAATATAGTCTATGCAGAAACAACACAGAATTCAATGCAATATCTTCATGTAGACTTAAAAGTTAGACTCTACCAAGACTTACAAATCTACTCTCACACGTAAATACCCCTAATGAAACATTTCTGGCTCTACAAGCAGATTTTTGACCAATTAGAATCTTGCTTATAGCAATCTCAATTCATTGTCACAAGTGACTAATTATAAAGTTTAGCTTTGCCCTTAAACCACTGAACAGAAATTTTCCTGTCTTTGTTTTCTGTTATTGCAAAATTACAGTGTTTGTTTTCTTGTTTGTGGAATTCCTTCATATTACTCTTGTCTTTTCCTGATTGCTTTTCAGCTTAATTGATTTTTTTTTGATTATCTTGACTTGACAAGACGTTTCCACATAATTTTTGTTTATCTATTTTGTGTCACTTTGGCTATATGCAAGAAGACTTTATCTATACTGCTGATTACAGTGGTGATTAATATGTGTTGTTGTATTTGCTTATGTCAAATATCATTATTTGAATAACTTTTCCATTTCATAACATTTATATCCATTTGCTTTGTTTGGTGAGTATTTGATGTGCTCTAGGTTTGTTGATCTGCATCCCAAGCTGCAATTACATTGAATGAAATCTCCAATGTGAACGGGTCCATTCGAATCGGTTGATTGCACTCCATCCATCTCCCTCGGTGTTTCAGTGATACGCCCTAATGAAAAGCTCTCCTGACAGCAAGCTTGTTTTTGGTATTTAATCTGCATGGGACTGTGTGGAGAGGCCACTTTAATATTCCTTCTCTCATTGTTTTTGGGTCTAATTGCTGCCAGCACAAACGCCATGCGGACATGGAGACACAACTACCAAGGAATCAGGGTCTGAGGTTTAGTGTTTGAGGACACAAACAAAATAATATTTGCACCCATATGCTGGCTCATTAGCTGATACGACATTTAACAATTTATAAATATTCATGAGAAGAATATATTAGCTTTGAACTATCTGAACTATTCAGCATGACTCAGACAGCTGAGAGAGCAGGAGGAATTGTGGTGGAGTTCCACTGTCCTTCCTTAAGTAATATCATATAGAAGAAACAGGCTTGAGACTGGAAGATTGAAATTCAGTCCCTGGACAAGCACAAAGGATTTTTGTTGCGAAAGGAAAAGATTAACTGCTTCATTGTCATTACTGAGATGCCCTTGAGCATGGCCTTTGTACTGGGCACCGTCCAGATGTGAATGTGTTTGGGTGTGAACCAGGTGTTCCTGGAAGAGCACTGTCACACATTTTGTTTAGTTCAATAGAGTAATTTCCTGACTGGGTTCGCTGGACGCCAAATCAATCTCTGTAAAAGACTCACACTCAAACATGTACTCTCAGATAAAGATACACATTTATTTGTCCTTCAAAATAAATGAAGTTATGACGAGTAATTATTATTTTTCTATGAAAGTCATGTAGCCAAAACTAAACAACGTTGTAGAAAAGTCACTTGTTGAGGTAACAACTGGCTACAGTGAAAGGTTGGGTATGGCGAATGACAGCGAGCAGACTCTAATGGTATGATGGTGTAATGGAACTATCATAGTCACTTTTTGAAAATGAACTGTGTATAAATGTTATTATGAAAAAAAGTGAGGATCAATATAGAAATCAGTCACTGTAAACGTCGAGAGGAAGATTATAAAAGTATTTGAGGAACTGTGAGAGCTGTGGTATTTTGTGTTTTCATATTTAAGGCTTTCATGATGAATATTCATTTAAACTAAGATATTATAAAGGCCTATCATAAAATAAATGGCAATAGATAACATTGGATGTAATTCTGGTGGCATAATTTCATTATTTGTGCAAACCAATGTATATGCAAATACATTTATAAGCCTTTTTTTTTTTTTTTTTTTTTTTACCTGGGATTGATTTATTTGGATAATTAGTCTGATATTCCACTAAATAAAAATACATTTAGTAAGGAAATCTGAAACAGTAGACAAGGGCTTGTTAATAGGCAACACTGTTGTCAGAAACACATTCTGAGGACTGATATTGTAGATCATTTAACAAATCTCTGAAGCACATTTCAGGACATGTTTCTTGACTGCACATTCTAAAGTGTAGCTTGCTATCAATATAAAGATATTTGGTTTTCATGACAGCCACTGCTTTTCTGAGACGACAGTGCCTGCTGGGCTCTGCAGCTGTCAGCAGAGGTGACTGACACAAGCATTTCATCGCATTTCAAACTGGATCTTTGAAGCTTGGACACCTCTGATTGACTCCATGTCACTTCAACCCAGTGTTGAAGGATTCAACGGTTGTTGAGCACAGAGAAGGTCTTGCTTTCATTATTTATGATGCTTAATTTCACTTTCTTACAAGACATACAGTAGTCGTCAAATTTGCAGCTGCAATAAAAGAAATATAAAATCCCTTTGAATATTCAGTAGTTTGATGGATGCTTATGATGGTTGATTGAGCATCATTTACATGTTGATGCACATTATCATCCATTCATGGGCATTTACACTGAAGACTTAAGATGGACATAAACTAATTGAGGAGACAAATTACAAATCTGAGCAGTTATAAGACCTATTATCTATAACACCTGCTCTTCTATTGTTGTAAAAACCCATAACCTCATAATCTGCAATACTGATTCTGGCCACTGAACCAAATATAAAGTTATAAACACAAAATGGTACATTTACAATACAATAAAAGCATGTGCAACTGAAAATCATGTCACTTGACTTTATATCATAAAATATATATGGTATATGTTATCAAATACTAAACATTCAAATGTTTTTTTTGATAATAAATAGAGTTTCTGTGAATTACAAGTCATTGCCATGCCTTATGTTCCTGTCCATGTAAAAGAAGTGAGAAGGTCTTCAGAAAACAGTTATAAGTCTGTCCTTTGAAGTATGAGCTGGTCTTAAGAACTCCCCATCCAGAATTTAAGACTACACTATCTGATCTGATATGCGTGACACATTGTCCATGTTGTTTACTTGAGTTGACAGAGATTTTCGGCTGTCTGTGCTCGTTCTGGTCCTTATCCCCTGTGTTCGATTTTGGCCTTGGCCGTGACAATGGCAAGAAAAGGCTGCTTTGAACTCCCCGCGGAACTTCCCTGGGGGAAAATGGAAGAAACATGAATCACACTTTCAATTTGAACTTTTTCCTTACCACTTGTATCAAAAACAACATTTTTCAGGGTTCATAAGCATTATGACCGACAATTTTATCAGCGACCGATGTTTACAAGAGTTGATTGACTCTGGATTCATTGTAAATACATCACATTTCATTTCTTTTTTTGATACATTATGACTAATAGCTAAGATGTATATGCCATTATCAAAGCCATTAAAATGTAATAGCATCTTTGAATTCATGTGAGAGATGTTTGTGATAAATATAATCTTGTCTTACATATTACAACACATTATCAGATGAGGAATTTATAGCAGTGAGTTGTATTTTTGTTTCCAAACTGTCCACTAGAGGGCAGTGATGAGCTCATTCAACTGGTATAGGTGATGAGACAGGTTACAAACTTACCACTGAGGAAATTGTAGATGATGGGATTTGCTGCACTGTTGGCATATATGAGCCAGTGTGAGAAAGTGAACCACGCATACACTGTTTCTCTGTCATTTGTGTTTTTGAAAGTCCCAAAGACTCTGCAGGTAAAGCAGGACAAGGTATCAGCTGCAGATTCTTTCAGTTTGGCTTTTAATGCTATACTATGAATCATACAAATTGAAATCAGGAGGGCAAAAAACAAGCAACAATTCAGTCCTTTCAGTCGTGTAAATATACATGAAACTACCAAGGTCAGCTCCTAATTAAAAAATAGATGTAAAATGTCAGCCCTGGTTTATCACAGCCTCTGTTCTTGATCTCTCTCTGCTTAAATGTCTTTTGATTCTTTTAAGCAGCAGAGCTCGAGAGGTTATTACCTTTTCATGACATTGAGCACGCTGATTGGCAGGTAGCACAGGGCGAAAACAAAGAGCACCACGATCAGCATGCGAGCTGTCTTGCGTCGGGCTCGGACTTGTTTGATCTCAGCACACACCGTGCTGGTCCTGACCCTGACGGACTCTCCTCGGCCCAGACTCGGAGCTGAGCACTGTATGGGCCTCCACTTCCTCTGCAACACTGATGTGCTTCCAGGAATCTGTTAATAAAACATGTGCATACATCAGGCACAGTAAACCTGCCAGAAGAAGATCAGTTCACCCTGAGATTTTGAGCTGACGAAAAAAAAATTTTTTTAAAAACAATGCGAACCTGTTGACACCACAGCTTGTGACATATCTGGATATACGCCAGGACCATGAGACATAATGGTGCAAAGTAGGTGACAATGAAGAAACAGGTATGATAGACCTTTGGGTAGATCTCGGCTGTTGAGAAAAATAAAACAAACATCATTACAATTGGTTTGAAAACTAACTGCATGATCTCTCCCTAAGACCCACCCCCCTCAGTTACTGTTGCCAAGCCTGTCACTCTTTCTGTTCTCGCACAGCACATTCACATTTAGACTTATCTCCCAAAATGCACAGTAATTTTCTGAAACAACGGGTCTTCGGCTTGACATAGAAGTAAACAAAAGCATGCAGGCTTCTCAATTCTAAGACTGTGGATTTTGTTGGCTGAAAGAAAAGCATTGTTTGTGCATTGCATTGCAGGTTAGTGGAAGTTAGTCCTTGTAGGCCTGTTATGGTGCAGTATTTATCTGAAAATCTAACTAAAATTCTTGTTACATGATCAAAACTTTTGTGTATTACAGTGGCCTATGATTTACATTTGAGTTCTTGCTCATTGTGGGAACTGTTGTGGGTTCTCTCTATAATATTGTAAGGTCTTGACCTCACCGTTGAGATAATGTAAGTTGAGCTTTGGCACTATACAAATAGAATAGAATTGAATTGAATATTATTAGTCATCTGCATCTTAATCTGTAGCCCGAGATCAGTTGCTCCTGTCTCCACATACCGACGGGGGAATCATAGTATTTTTTACTAAAGATTAAAACATCACTGCAGTGATTCTGTTTCTCAGGCATGTTGTCAGTACTAATTTGCTAACCTGTTCAGAGTTTTGAGGGAGTATTTGTGTTGCACTTTGAGTCCATTGGAGTTGAGCTTTGTTGACTTGTAGTGGTGTACGTGTTCAACCTGCTGCTGCGGAAGGTACGTCCACCATGTCTTCTGTGAGCAATCAGTTTCGAAGGTATCGAATGGATAGCCTGCCAGGTTTACTCTAACCAAATGAAGTGAGAAGTCTGGCTCAATGTTTTTGTGTGTTCAGGGGGGATTGTGAGAACTAACCTCCCCAGTGTTCATCACAGACTGTGAACAGACTGGTCTTGTTTGTCAGTTCAGGCAGCAGGCTGCTGCACTCCATCACAATAGCCTGAGGGATCATGATGATGCACGATACAACCCAGATGACAACAATACTCTTGCGAGCCCTCTTGGCAGTGCTCTTGAACATCAACGGGTGGCAGATAGCATACCAACGGTCTTGGGCAATGCAACTCAATGTTAGGACTGATACAGAAACTGAGATGGTCTGAAAAAAAAAAAAAGAAGCACCAGTTAGACAGTGACTGAACTATTTTGGGAAAGGTATTTTCAGTACTCTAAAGTCAGGACCCAGAAAATAGATCCCACAGCTTCTTATTTTATTCATGGTTGCAGCTGTGACACCAGAGATATTCACCTGAATTTGATATTAACATAGTTTGGGGTGATTATGTGCAATAGTACACATTAATGAGGAACATTATTTCAAAATATACAGTTGCTGGGACTTTGTTTTAAATCTCTGAGACATTACGTTGCTCTAATGCAAGTCTTTAGCCAACAGTCGTCCTATTTAACTGTCAGCACTTGCAGCAGAACACAGTCATTTAGATTTTGAGACCAAAGATATGTAGAGATCAGAACAGAGATAATGAAGACTTAAATATGTTGTATCTCTGTCATACCTGTTTTTTTGCAGTCAGAGCAATTTCCCACAGACAAAGTATGGTTAGTATTAAAAAGCCTGAATGGTAAAACATCTTTGATAAATTTTGCAGTCCTTCACTGGAGGCATCAGGGCAGACAGTGTAGTGAAGAATGTGGCATCACAATGACTGATTTTATCTGTGTTTTTTTTTACTTCCAAGGCAAATCAGAACAGTAATAACTTCTATTCACCAAAATGTTGGCTTTCACTAAAACAGGTTTGAACCTTTCTGGAGGTCAAGCACAGACGGAGTTAGTCCATTTTATCTGAAAGATAATGGCCTACAGGTAATCACCAGCTCTGTAAAGTCCCAGATGAGAGAGAATCCGAGTGAAGATTAGCAGGGTTCAGTTGTAGTTTTTTTTTTTTTTTTTTTTGGGGGGGGGGGGGGTTTCTTTGACACCTTGATGGAGCTCAGTCTACACTCACCACGATCTAAATGCCGTTGCTCTTACAGAAGACCAGATGAGGCAAGATTTCAATTATGGAATGAGGAAACTGGACCCACTTCCGACGTGACATGTTGATGCATGAGAAACTTCCCACGCTGGAGATGCTCTTATCCAGTTTCAGGGTGTTGCACATGGTTGAGAGATTTCTATCTTCAGTATGTAGGAACCTACACATATGAGCTTAGTGCTGGGAAGGGTCAGGAAGTCAGAAAGTGAACTGCTGGTTCGTCCCTTTTAATGGAATTTGTTGACAGCTAGAGAAATGTCGGTAACCCCTGGGATATCCAGTACTGAGTTCAGCGGACTCAGGTACTAGCGACGGCAGAACAGCCCACTCTGAGCTTCAAAAACGCTCCGCAGAAACCAATGGGTGACGTCACAGAGGCTACGTCCATCTTTATTTACAGTCTATGGTGAATAACAGTGTTTGCTCCTCAGTTGCCATACAAAGAGGTGCAAGGGAAGGTGCAGTGGAGAGAAGGGTGCCAAACTGGCTCATGGACAATTCCACTAAGACTTAACACAAAGATCTGTTTACGGCCTAAATACAAATCAATAAAACAGTGCAAGAGAAAAAGTGTATGTTCTTAACAATAACCTCCTTAAACTGCTGTATCTGCTTATAAAGATTATAGCTGAAACATATATGTTGCTTTTTAATTTTAAAAATGCTGAACTTTAAGTGTTGATTATGTCATCTTTTTGCAATTGAGAACTAATCGTTTTCATTTTTTTTAAATGCAAGCAAATGAAGTAAACTAAGTAAGTACTTAGGTTTTATTAAAAAAAATATTCTTAACCTTGGTAACAAAACAGTCTCACTACAAAGTCGGTTTTGTAGCTATAATAAAATCAATCAGCTTCTGAAAGGACCTTGTTGGCCTCATAAAAGCAACAGGAGGTATAGTCCATGCAAGTGCTGCTGCAGCAGCAGCAGTAACAATACAGCAGAAAATCACACAACAGCAAGCAGGGTGAATGTGATCATCGAGTCCTTCAAATGGACTGCTAATCCAGTGCCACGAGGTGCGATATGTGTGGTAAGATAGCAGCGAGCACAGAAGGGGGCTCACACGTTTGTTAGTCCACATGATCCCTGTGGTTTACAGCTGCATCCATTCAGAAAATCTTGTGTACGTCAGTGATTCAGAAGGACACTCTGTGACATGGTTGTGATCAAATTCACTTTGATATAGATAGGATAGTGTAGAATTTCAGCATCTCAGTACAGATGTATTGTGGCCTACGGTGTGATTTAAATTGGATGATTTTCTTTCAGCAGATCTGTTGCAATAGAATGTAAAAAAAAAATGGAGAAGGCAAAAATCTTGCCCAAAGCGTCAAATCACCACGGGATAACATCAAAGGTTTCACACAGTGCACATCTCCTGGGAGGTTTTTTTACCCCCATGAATTAAGAGAAAGAAAAATATAAGAATAACAGAAACAAGAGTCTTGCCCTCTGTTCATAAAACTTTCATATGCGGAGCGGTTTAGATCTGGTCAATATTTCTAATATCCTGGTTCAAAAGAAGATGCTAATCTCTTACCTGCAGATAAGGCACGACTTTGCAAAGAGTGTTTCCAAAGAACCACGTCTCTGTGATGTCGACCACGAGACTCGCGGGCAGGCAGATGATGGTGACCAAGACATCAGCAAAGGAGAGATTCACTATGAAATAGTTGGTCACGGTACGCATGTGACGGTTTTTCCACACTGCAAAACAAACTGACAATGATGCACAATCAAAGACAGCCCAGAGACTCAATAAAGGCAAATATTTATCACATTAGTCCAGGGTACTGAATGTTAATCACTACTGTCTTGAAGGCATGCTGTCAATCACAGTTTGAATTAAAATCTAATTACATTCCTGTTTACATCGTTGATTCTGCTGGCAAACTATTGTCTCTTTAGAAATCACTTAGAGACAATTAAATTTTAATGTGTTAATGTGACATTTCCTGCTGAAACTGTCACAGTAAAGTGTTTTCACATTCATAAAAGTTTATCATTTTTAAGCAGCTCTTTTTATTATGGGCATTTTCTTTAAGCAGTTCGTTTACATAATGATCACTGGTGAATGATCACATTACCTAAATTATATATTAATTTTACTTCATGGATGACCTCCTCTGCCATGACAGCGTCTCCATTAATTTGAAATCGTAAGACAAGACCCCCAAGATCCAAATTTGATTCTCTGATAATGAAAGCAAATCAAGCGAACACAATAATGTGTGACCTTCTGTCAGATCAAACCTGAATGGATTTCAACATTTATTGAGTCATAGAAAATATAAAAACAAACTAAAAAGTTAATGGTGAATCTTTAGTGAAGCTAAATCTATTGCCATATACAGATTAAGACTGTGGAAAGCAGCCAAAGGTCATAGTGTGCGTATGTACCATTTATGCAAAATGCAGCTGCAACACAAATCTACACAGCAACTACGTAATGACGTAACTGTAATCCAGCGTCCAGAACTGACAGATTTGCATAATGGTTAAAAAGTCACATCAAAAATATTAGATTTAATATGAGATTGTATCTATTATCCAACCAACAGAACATGTCACAATACATCAAATGTATCTTGATACAATATCTAATAGTGCTTCACAGACATTAAAAAGCACAGTGGTGCAATCATGATATAAAGAATAGAGATAAGACAATAAATAAAATCCTTCTAAATTATTAAAAGAATAAAAGCATAATATAAACAGAAACTCAATTAAAAGAATTTTTTCAGTGTCAGCACAAGAAGTTTAGCAGCTTTAACAAGAAAAAAATCTAAAGCAGTGAGTAAGCAGTAAGACAGGATTACAGGAAAGCTATAAAAGCGCGTTTAAGGAAGATACTTAATGAAGAGGCAGTTAGCCATCCTACTCTCCTCTGGAGGATTGTTTGGGGGCCTGGATGGCACCTTTATTATACAGTCTGGATTTAGGAACCACCAGCGGAGCTGCTTTTGCGGACCTCAGAGCACTTGACAGCACATGGGGAATTAAAAGATCCGCAATGTAGCTTGGGGAAAACCATATCGGGCTTTAAATGTGATAAGTGTGGGGAACATTTAGCATCTATTAGCCTACTGCACACTATTAACAAAGCATGCCACAACAACAACACAACACTAACTACACAAACAACGACGCTACAGTGAAAGAATAGGTGAATGCAGTACCAAACTTTGACAGAGGACGTATGCAACAGATGAAATAAATGATGATAGAACGAACAACCTCTAATGGTTATGCAAATACAACTAAATGAGTTCAACAAGCACAGAACTCGCAGAGTTAACTATAAATGACAGGAACAGTAGGTTAATAACTTCATGACATGGTAGCATTTTAGATTTACATGTTCTCTTGCCTGGAAAGGTGTGGACAAATATTATAATGAGTGAGTGTATATATTAAAATTAATAATTATTAACTGTATATGCGAGCTGCTAAAAGAAGGTGGTAAAACCGAAGAAAAGAAGATACAACTGTGAAATACAAGGACCAGAATATGTCAAGCCAGATAATGTAAGACCATAAGACAAAACAAGAGCAGCAGTATGGCCCTGACAATGAGTGGTGAGAGGGATAAATTAAAAGAATCAATCATGGAAAAAACTGTGACAGTTAGAGGTGCAACAGGCATGAATATTAAAATCCCCTAGAATTAAAAACCTGTCATACATGGGTAGGATTATTGACAGAAGCTCAGGGGATTCATTTATGAAGTCAAAGGAGGATTTAGGGAGTCTATAATATCTATAAGACCCCCCTCACCCCTTCCCAAAAGTTTTAGATGGTGAAAAAAAAAGTAGCCAGGAGCAGAGGCTTCTAATAAAGGAGTACAAGTCTCAGATTGTACCCACAATTATGTTATCATATAAATATCCAGATTCAGTGATAATAAAGAATCATTTCACACAAATGACTTAGATCTTACACTGAGCAGCCCTGCCTTGAATATATTTGGGACTTTGGTATGGAGCAGTGGAGGAGATACAGGCCAGTAGGGAATATGATTAGATGGTGAGATATATGGGGAGAAGTGTGGGAAGGGTCTTGCGGAGGTGTAGGGAAGACCTAGGGAGAATTAAAAGCTATAAAATGGATAACATTAGACAGCAGTTTCTTGGTTTCTTTCTTATGGGTGGGTACTGTAGAGGTCCTGACTAACCCTGAAGTGATCAAAATTTCTGATAAATGCTCTTTTAAAGAGTATTGATGGGGCCGGACATTACACAGCAGACTCTCAATTGTGCAGCGTAGTGATTCAATGTCCTGGTGCAGCCGGGCTGATTGTCTAGACATGACATCACGGTTCCGGCGTGTATCATTTGCAGTGTGGACTCAGGGGTGAAGGTCAATGAGTGTTGGAACAGGTTTAATAAAATCCTCAACCTTTCTGCTGCTGAGACAATATGTGACGACAGAGGCAAGTTTAACAAATCTGACGATGGAGACCGCCAACACCAAGAATTCAGCACACAGCTGCCTCTGTCCGTGTCCGTTGTAGGTTGGTTGACGGCACTTTGGTGTTGCACATGTTACGATGTTGTTGCAGAGTCAATAAACCACCTGTGCTGAGTACCAACAAGTTCAGACAGTACTTTATTTGACTGTGAAGTATATCATGCATAGTCATAGCAGTGTTGGAGAGTAGTGAGCATCATGTAATTAAACTAGTGGTTTAATTACATTTTTTAGTAGCTTGTTTATCCATATGTGCATAGTCATTCAAGTACTTTTACTCTTTTTTTTACCTTTTTTTGTGTAGTTAACTAGGAAACTACTAACAATTTTGGGCCATAATAGAAACGTTTTTTTGGGGGTTTTTTTATGTATTTATTTTACCATTGATTCTCTCTCTTTCATCCTGACCACTGTGAAGGCGTGGCCAGGTAATGCATTTGTCAGGCAGTCGACACCATACACTCGACCGTTGTGTAGCACATGCACAAAAGCTAAGTGTGCTGCTCAATGCTGACACAGCGACAGGTGGATACACCTCCTGAATCTCAGTCTGAGGAAGAATCACCGTGGCAATACTTATACCATACCATAATAAAAGTTATTGTTTACAACGCCGAGGCTGACACTCCAGCACTTTCCCATGAATAGCTGAGTAGTTTAGTTTTTTGGTTTGTTGCGACCTGTAAACACTGTGGCACTTTTTTGCAATATACTGGCGTGTGACTTTTTTTATATTATGCCAGGTTATTTTGTTCTAATTTTGTATCAAACTTACATCGTCAGTTTGATCTTTTTTTTCCCAAAAGTCGTTTGAACTACTTTTTCTAAGTAGCTTTAGTTAACCAAAATAGATATCTCCCTCGAGTAGCTTTTGCAGTAGTTCAACTTCTTCCAGTGTAAAGTAATTGGTAGCTTGCAAAGCTATGCTTTCAAAGTAACTTCCCCAACACCAACAGTGTGTACCTGGGACGCAGCTGTTGCTTTTGAAATGCTTCAGCAATTCAAACATGGTGGAACATGGGCGGTAATGTGAATGTACAAAATGACATAGAGGATTTGTAAGGTGGGCGGAAAAAGTATGTTGACACTTGAAAATATGTATGTCTCTGAAAAGCAGCAGAAATGGATTTTCCACCCTGAAATATATATGAAGGAGGAATATAAGTATAGTACACTGACATCCCTGTAGAAAGAACATTAAAGTTTTAAATCAGGGAGGATTATATTATGTATGTATATTTGCCTCTACCACCTGGATCCTGATTTATTGTGTTGAGTGAATGAACTGAACCATCTACGGGTGGATGCAGGACTGAGAGCCACAGCAGGCAGAGTGGACAATCACCTCACCTCGCCTGTGGGGTGTAACAAGAAGGTCCCAGGTGTTCAAGTGCACAAGAGACAGAGAGAAGAGGCCTTCTATGCTTATTTCAGTTAAGTATGTCTCTATACCATCATTTGGATTCAGCTACTAAAACCAAAATGTGTATGCCGGTACATGTAGTATTTTGTTTACTTGCCCCACAGGCTATTGATTTAAATGACGTACCATGCTGTGTGCCATGTTGAAATGAAGTAGAAACCACACCCACCGGCTCAAATCCGCATGGTTAAATTTTGGAATGCTGTATAAAGTATTCTGTCTGATCAGACATGTGCTTGGAATAAAGTTGGCTGGAGCTATAGGGGGAATTATGGTGCGGGTGGAGGGCTTCTAACCCCACAAAATTTACTGTTTTCTGTTTGCTGTGTGGTGCTGGGCCGGCAGCATACAGGGGGTTTATCAGAGCTTTTAGTCTGAAACAGCTGCCTGCTATGGCTGGAAGTTATGCAAATAAGAGCGGTGAGTAAGTAAATTTACTAAACAACTTACTAATACTACTTAATTACTTATTTAACAAACATATCATTGTCTTAATATTGTCCTTGCACTCACTGCATTGAAGCAAAATATACAAACATTTAGTATTTCCTGAATGGGGGGGGGGGGGTCCAGTTCTACCCCCTACCCCAAAACTGACTCCAAATTGGCCTTTTTCACATCTGATATTTTGATGGAAACTGAAGCAGCTAAATGGAATTAATCCTTTATTGTTGTTAATTACATCTGTGTCTTTTCCTACTGTGAAATGGCAAAATGCCAGAGGGGCTTGTAATTTGCATGTCAGTCACAGTGAACTCTATGTGAGGTTAAAAAAAAAAAAAAAACTTGGGTCCATTTGCAACAGAAACATATTAGTTCTGGC